GYTCAGAAATAAAAATTAAAAAATATACAATTCATTACACCTCCATCAGACGTCTTCATGCAGAAAATAACATGCCCCTCTATTTATTATTCTTGCCCACTTTCAGTCTCGCCGCCATTTTTTCCCTCCGCCATTCCCGCTTTCTGTACGTTTACAGGAATCCACAGCTGCTGGGCACATTCTGTCCCTCTGCTTCCGAGCAGCTGGAGTTTCAATCTCCTAAAGCGTTCATCCTTTCTATGTGTGACTGTGTGTGTCCATCCTATGCACCCCGAGATATTAATAGCTTGCAGTTGTTTCTTTTGAGAGTACACAGCAGGTCTTTGTGTTTGCATAAGTAAGATCTGTTTGCGTGACAGTTGATGGTGCATTCGCGGCGTGCGTTAGCGCATCGGTGTGTTGGGGTGAGTGTATTAATAGTCGCCATTTGTTTCTTCTGAAGYGAGCACTGTGGCTCTCTTGTGCAAGTTTCGGTACATGCGAGCRGACCTGTGTATTTTTAGTGTCACCTGTCCATAGACACTTGTGTTTTTGTGCGTAATCAAGAGAGATCGCATGTGTTTGAGAACAGCCACTTTGTGGATCTCGCTTCCTCAACATTATTAATAGCAACACACCATTTGTTTTTATGAGTGTGTGTGCATATAGTGTAATAATAGTGATACCAATTGCCAACAAATGCTTCTGTATGTCATGCATTAAATGGCTGTCAATAACTTCAGCAGTGCGGCAAATGAATGTGATCAGTGTGAATAAATTAATGATAATTAACTATTTTTAGCCATTAAGTTTCAGCTATTGTACAGAAGGTTTGGTCCAAAAGCTTTGAGCTTGAACAATTATTTTGTGAAGTGGCCTGATGTGCACCTAAATTTTGGTACAACCCAGATTGTAAAACAATAATTGCAGCTATTTGTATGTGGTGTTGTCACAACATTGTTTTTCTAATGCTCGTCTTCAGCAGTTTTGTAGAGTAAAGAAAAACTAAGAATTGGTTTGTCTGAGATTAGAGTAGGTGCTATTTGCTGGAAAAATACTGCATGATTTGTAAAATAAATATAAAATCCACCAAAGCATTTGCTTTGATTACATAAAAAAGTTATCTGTTTTAAATAACAGCAACAACAATAGAATCACATTTCTGAGCCCATTTTAAATGATCTTGACTACAGGAAAGCCTCCCTCTTTGACACTCAAAACTTAAGAGTCCTTTGACAATTGTCTGCAACAGGTAAGACAGTGTCTACACATACCATTCTCAGTGACTGTGTTCCACATAACTGACCTTGAAAAAAAAGTCCTGTCACAACCCCTTTGTGAYGCCGTATGACTGGGCTAACCTAAAACAACATGCACTGGATCAGGATATGCCTACAATGAAGATATCATTTTATATTGCTTCTGATCTAAAGTTAATTTCAGGCAATCAGTAAGCTGGAGTTTTTGGACACAGTTCCAGTTTTTGATGGTTTGTCTGCAGCTTACACGGCTGTTATGCTTTGTGCGTCGACAACTATGTGAGACACAACTAAAGGCATGACCTAAATATCAGCAGCACAGGATTTATAAGCTGCATACGACAAATGACCATGTATCTGTGCATTGCAGCAAACCTTTTATTGATTTTTATTTATTTAATTTACATTTTACAACTTGGACTTCTGTGCAAAAACTATAAAAGTGTGTTTCAGAGGCCCAAAGCAGTCTGTGTGTCCCCAGCCTCTTCTCTGAAACTTGTAGTTTCAGCTGTGCACATCTGGCAGCTCTCACACTTTTAGAACGATGAACCCACGTTTTGACTGTCAAGTAATTACCCATCAACTCCTAACTCAAATGAGATGAAGGCTCCAAGCCCCTCCCTCAAGACAAACCAGTTAAATGAGAACACAACTGAATAATTACAACAATGAAGGTTGAATAAGCTGGGAAATAGGCTCTGTGTTGAATTAACACAGTAAACGCTGGTGAAATCAAAGCAGTAGACGTGTAAAACTACATTTGTTTTGACTCTGCATCATGGGTAATAATTAACTGCAAGAGCATAAAACAAATGAATATCAGTCTTTTTAGCAGGTTCACTCCCTGAGGCAAGATGATGTTTCAGACTCATGCCAATCTAATGAACACCCTTAGGCCACATTATGCAATGCTCACCTTATCTAAAAATAGAAAACCGGTTCAACCCACATATTAATTAACAGCTTTTAAAAACCTAAGAGCATATCTGTGACAGACTCGACTTGTACATTCTCCCATTCAAACAGCATCAGGGTAATATCGCCCTCATTTATGCAAATTAAGTCTGGGCCAGGACTTGACGCGTTACGAGGCACTGACTCACGTCTTTTGCATACTTTAGAAGAAATAAGGACTGAGCGTGAAGCATTTAAGCTCAGTGCATCTCATCTCAAATCACAAATATCCAGCTGCTCTTAGAGCCTATAAGAGACATTACTGGATGTTGTCTAAAGGAGTGCATTCACACCAAAATATTGGCACATGTACTTATAAAACCTACCTGGCATAGGGATGATTTGACTGTGAAAACAGGTTCTCATGTGGACTTCCTACTGTAGGTCAGCCATGTGTTAGCAGCCTACGGTGTGTTATCGCACACGAGGTAAGAAGACTGTGTACACACAGAAGGGCTTCTTTGTTTCAAATTCACCCTGAAGTCAGTCAGAATAGGGTTACCGTCTTGTGGCGCTATCCAGATTTTATGGCTGGTTTTGATAAAAGTAAGTTTTGTTGATTTCCCAAACAACCTCTGCCTTTTTGCTCCTTCTGTTTCGCTCTCTTTCTCACACACAAAAGCACAATCCAACCAGAAACAGCAAAGTGATGGTCCTGTTGCTTGTATTTTTGAGGACCGGACTTTATCAGCAGTCAGCTGAGTTGATCTTAAATCAGGAACAGGAAATGTGATCTTGGCTTCTGGCTGGTCCAGAACACTATTCCTATTGTCAGCGTGCTGCTGTGGCTCAAACGGGGAAAACACTGGTGACTTTTAAAGGTTATCTGTCCTGGGGAACAGTTGACATTACTTCACACAACTGTGCAGCACAAAGACATACCCAAATTGTGAATATGTTAAAATGCCTCTGTCGTACTCTTAAACCACTGACGGAGATAAAAGTGTTATCTTAAGCCCCTGAATCTGTGATCTTCAATAAAAACACTAAAACAAATTTGTTGTCTGAAAATGTTATTGTCTAACTTAGTCTAAAATACACAGAAAGGCCACAACATTATGACCACTGACAGGTAATATTAGTAACACCGCTGTTGATACAATGCAGTGTACTGCTGGAAACATCTGCATCCTGGCATTCATGGACACCTATGACACATGCCACCCTAGCATTTTTGCACACACACAAACACACACAGACACAACCCACAAGACTAAAGGGTTCCTTATTTTATGTTCCAGTACAGAGTAGCTTTGGAAACTCCCTGATATTTCTTTGCAAAAGCTAAGCAGAACTGTTTTGGCAGCAAAATTTCATAGATTTTATGAAGTAGGACTGACGATTGTCTCAATCTACCAACCATACATCCATCCAGTTTATTTACCCGTCACAGGAAGCTGTGCCCGTGCGCAGCAGTTACTGTGAGAGAGCCGGGGTACGTCTTGGCCAGGTCGCAAGTCCATCACAGGGACACGTAGAAATAAACGAGACAACCATTCACTCGCTCACTCACACCTAGGCACCATTTAGAGTTACCAGTTAAACTAATGTGCATGTTTTTAATCCGTGGGTGGAAACGGGAGTACCTGGAGAAAACCCACACATGCACAGGGAGAACATGCAAACTCCATTCAGGAAGGCCCCAGGCCGGGAGGTCATCCTGCAACCTTCTGACTGAGAGGCGACAGTTCTAACCACGAGCACCTCATATTGTTTTTTAAAGATARCATGATGAGTTTATGATAGTAAAAAGTAACTGAAACTAATGTGATACCTACCTTTCTATTAATTAAATAAAAAAATATGAAACAAAGTTTGGATTTAAAGTTCTAGTTGCATTTTGTTTGTCCACTTTTGATCCTTTTTTATTCCTTTAGTCMTACAGCATGCCATTCTGAATCAGGTTTGTGACTGAAAATGACAGCTACTTCAAGTTTTGGAAAATTATAAACTCACTGAAGAAACATAACTGCATTAAAAGCGGAACATCACACCACTTGTTTCAATATGCCAAGAAAACAATTAAAAGAAAAAAATAATTTTAACATCATCAAAGAGTTGGCTTTGAAACCTGAAACCCAACCTTACAAGTGACCGCTAACAACCCTCATGGCAAGAATGACCAAAATAGCACACATTTCTTCCAACTCCTTAAGTCAAGGTGTGTCTTGTACATACTAATGAAACAGATGCAACTTGTGTTGTTTAGCTGACTGCAAATCGAATGCGCACCACAAACGTGTAAAACAAAAAATGATCTYACACACTTTTGTTGACACTGTAGTAGAAATAGAAACAGCAAAGAGGAGCAGAGATGTGCAGGTGGACTTTTGGTGTCATTCTCATAAAACTAAAGCAACTATATCTCTGCAGGAGTGAGGATATGACCTCAGTCCCTGCTGAGGAAGCTAACCTGGATGCATGAGACAGTTATAATGAAATAAAGCAGGTTAGCCTCTATTAACTTACCCCTAAAATGACATTCTCACGCCATAATTGCTCAATTGTTAGAGCAGATTGTTACCATCAATTAGCTATGACCTCTTGCACATCAGGGTAATTACTTTAGTTACACGGTCAGTTTAAGTAGGGTAAGGCGTGTACCAAACTGGGTCATAACTGAGCTATGATTAAAACTCTTTTGCACCTGCTGCTAATTATAGAAGCGCCATTATGTTCGAATTAATATTTCCCCCCAGCAATTAATTTAGTTGTCATACTGTTACGAAGACCGAGCACAATAAAAGTGAGGAAGTTTTTTGACAAAAGGAAAGTTTTAGTTTGTGGAGCCTGAAAACATCATCCTACCTTGGTTTTTGTTTTGGAGGTGAGCTTTAAAAAAAGAGTGACGTGCTTTCAAATTTCATGCGGCACCAACAGGACTGAAAGCCGGGGTAAAAAAAAAATAAAAATCAGTCAGCAGAAGATGACATGGGTGAAAAGGTCGTCTTGTAGTCTCTCCTGCTCATCCTCAGTGTCATTTTCCCCATTTAATAACCCGGTTGTTACAAAGTTAGGACGCTCCTCTGTGGGATAACAAAAAAAGTGTCGTTCCGACGGTCGGCACGCGCCGCTGTTAGCTAACAGCAGCACACACCCCCGATGAGTTCCTGTAATTAATTAACCTCTGAACCAGAAAACAACGAGCGTCCACCATGACCCAGAGCTGCTCTCTGTTTATCTGTCTCTCTTCCTCACCGAATGAGTCTGTCTGACGGCGGTGAAGCTGTTAATAAACGCAGTCGAAAGTCTCACTTTCATCCGCGAGAGCCGCTGGCGCGAGGGCTCCATCTGCTGCTCGACGCTGCCTTGAATGTATGGCAAGTCCGTTTGTCATATAATAGGCGCTACAAAACAGGTAAAGGTAGTCACCGCAATGTCATGAAAACGAGTCTGACTAAATATGCACAATGTTTTTTTCTTCTTTATATTAATGGCTAATTTATCCTTMAATTTAAAAATGTGTCAGCATAGATATATTGTTAGAGGATCTGTAAACAAATTTTTTGAAATCTGGCAGCCATTTTTATCTTACGTAGAAAAAACTTCAGTAGATAACTTTGTCTAATGGTCAAATAATGGTTCTTTGTACACAAACCTGTGTTTTTTTTGTTTTGTTTTTTTTATGGATACATGAATATAAGATGTATTTCTATTTATGTTTTGTTAGCAGATCCGGCATAGGTGGGGAGNCCTGGTTTTTGCACACTCCAGCTGTTCTATAGGACCTCCTTGGTTACAAAATGTTTGCCATAACTCAAGATCTGGTAAACTGGAATTATTTCAAAATAGTTAGAACTGAGGTTGTTCTAAGAATTGTCCACACACAGTGAGATGTTAATATTTTATAACCTTTCCACAGAACCTGTCCCAAGCCTGAAGGCATTGTGTCCAAACCCACTTCAACCTGACTAATTAACTGTGATTATCGGCCTGAGCCTGAAGTAAACCCAACATGTTTTAATTACCATATTTATGCAAGACCCATTTTTTCAGCTTAAAAGGCATAAAAAAATCTGATCCTCATATAAAATGCTGCCCTTAGTTTCATACAGACCGCAGCATTTTTCTGCCCTTGCGGTGACACACACACACACACACACACACACACACACACACACACACACACA